CTCTTGTATAAATACACAAGTTCATACATCAATAAAGTCAAGTTGGTTCGATATCTAATTCTCCACCACTGGTATTGTCGGCTATGTTATCGGGAGGAACCTCTGCTTCGTGAACTAGAGGAAAAACAGGAGCCGGAGGAACAGTAACCGAACTCCCCCTGGCTTGAGAAGATGGAAGCAACCAGTCACCGTCATGGACAAGCACGGGTGAAGGGGTAACTGTCGGAGAGGTAGAAGATGTTGAATAAGGAAACACATCCTCTTGAAAGACAACATCCCGAGACACTAAAAATTCATCACGTTCCAAATCAAACACTTTCCAGCCTTTTTTTCCAAATGGATAACCGACAAAAACACACAAACGACTTCGCTGTCCAAATTTATCTTTATCACGAGTGAGACGGTGGACATAACATGCAGCACCAAATACTCGAAGCTGCTCATAATCCGGTTTACGATCGTGAAGAATTTCATAAGGAGTGCGACCAGAATGAACTGAAGATGGAGTTCGGTTGATCAAATATGCAGCAGTAAAGATAGCTTCTCCCCAAAACTTGATAGGCAAACTAGCCTGAAATAACAATGCCCGAGCAACATTAAGAATATGACGATGCATCCGTTCTACACGTCCATTTTGTTGAGGAGTAGCGACACATGATGTTTGATGAATGATACCAACAGAACGAAAATGAGAGGAGAGACACATGAATTCCGTCCCGTTATCACTTCGAATTATCTTGACAGATTTGCCGAACTGTTTTTCCGTGTACTGCAAGAAATTTGTAAGAACCCCTCGCACCTCAGATTTCTCAAGTAAAAGATAGGTCCATACAGCTCTTGAATAGTCATCAACAATTGTTAGAAAATAAACGGCTCTACAAGAGGAAGGTACCCGATACGGACCCCAAACATCACAATGAATCATTGAAAAACAACTTGTGGTTTTATTAATACTATCGGGAAAAACAGCTCGTGTTTGTTTAGCTTGAAAGCATATGTCACAAGACGGAGAACTAATGGAAGAAGATGAACTAGAAAACCAAGGTAAAGCCGAGAGCACTGTAAAACTTGGATGTCCTAAACGCCGATGCCATAAAGCTTGGTCAGGAACAACTTTTGCCACATGTATCTTTGCTGTAGCAACATCCGTAAGAAAATACACACCGTCACGCTCCTCACCGCGTCCAATCATAGTCTTCGAGAACCGGTCCTGTAAATAACAAAGAGTGTCAGTGAAAAGGGCAAGACACTTAGTTTGTTTCAATATTTTTGAAACAGAAATCAATGTGCAGTTCAAAGAAGGCACAAAGAGAACATTAGTCAACTTGACTTTGTTGGAGAGTGGAAACACCCCCATGCTTACAGCAAAAGCTTTACTACCATCAGCAAAACCAACCGGACTTGGTGATAAAGGAACGATATCGGTTAGAAGAGATAGTGTGCCAGTCATGTGATGCGAGGCACCCGTATCCAAAATAACATCACCAAATTTAATCTTACCGGACAACTTATCAGAATTCTCAGTACTAGAGATCTTGTTGCTGGACTGGTTA